TCCGAGAGTTGCTTGAGTAGCTCAGTATGCTTATTGTGAGTACGTTCCTTGGGGGGGCACGATACAGGTTATCCAGTTCCAGGGTTGATTATGTTGGGGCTCCGCGGAGTTGGCTTGCGTCTGTCCAGGAATGTCGGCTGCTTGAAAGGCTTGGAAAGCAATTCCAGATGGTCCCGATCGTTCGTCGTTGGGATCACTGGTCCTTGCAAGTCTCGGCTAAACACATACTCAGCTTCCCAAACACGCGGACCCCTAAAGAAGAGCTCTGGGACCCAGATCGGTTAGTTCAAGGGGCTGCTGAGGGGCTCTGGAGGCAACTGTTCTTGGAGGAGGTTGATCAGCAATGGTTTCAAAGGCTCCCTGAATGGTCTAGACTTTAAGCCCACGCAGCGCCTGATCGAGCATGGGAAGCTTTCATTGGGGATCTCAGGAAGATCGCATTATCTTATTACGCACGTCACCCTGTAACTGATACTAATCTCGAAGCCCAGCGTGCAGAACAACAATAACTCCTCCGACGGCGGTTTGCGTGACGCGAGAAACTCACCCAACTCACGTCGGATGCTCCCCTTATAGCCCACAGCGGTGCCGATCATGAACATACGAATATTCAAACACGCCCACATGCACTTACGCAACACATCACACATCAACGCAATCAACACCGCCATCATAGTATAGAGACATTGGCGGCTCAGATCCATGAGGCTTGGAAAGAAGAGCAAGTGGCCCCTTGCATATATATATACATATTGATTATGTCGCAGACCTGCGTGTACCACAATCGGCCCTGAGAGGAGATCTCAGAACCATTCAGTAAGTACACGCCCGACGATTGCCCTGCGGGGTCGATTTCTTGGACAAGGAGGCAGGGATGGAGGCCAGCGAGCTTGTGAAGTCGATGTCACCACCCTGCCCGAACATAGACACGATCCAGGCACAGGCTATATATGTTTCGCCCCATGGTTTAAATATGAAATTGATAATGATATCCGTGGTGTGTGCACAACTCTCCTCACAATGTAAAATCGGAAACGTGTCCCACCGTGGAGCCTACCCCTGGAATGTTGTCGAGTGGTATTTCCACTGGGTCATCGGGATTTCAGGAAATTCGCCGAGCAGGAGCAGGACCAGTTTGAAGCAAACATCCCCGACATGAGATGGCAACTTCGCAGAATTCGTGGCATCTCGTGGGGCATCCGTGGAAGCGCGCAGATTCCTCTTGACTGTCACCGGTCTTGGGGCTGCTGCCTCCCCAGGGCCACGACAGCCACAGGGCTGAAGGCCATCAGGCTTGTGCACAGCATGTGCCCCTTCAGCAGGGCCTATTTCCAAGCATCTTGGGCTGCGAGGCGGCGAGTGCTGCCCTGAGCGTGGATTCGCGGACTACCTCCACGGTGGCCTACATCGTCGGCGACTTGAGAGCGCCATCACGATCCAGCTCATCACCTCGTGGCGCTTGGCAAGGCTCAAGAAGACACATTGCGCCGTCTTTTACGACCAGTCCAACGCGTTCGGCAGCTTGGACACTCAGGTCCATGACGGCACGGGCATGATCCATACATCGGCGTTACAAAAGTTTCGTCATAGAATAAAAATCGATCATCTTGCATAAGCAAAGACAAATCCCGCCCCGATGGGATTTCTAGAACCGTGTGAATTTACGTCGGGATCTCAAAATGTCCCGTTTTAAATCTATACTATTATAGTAAGGGATGAAATCCCACTTTTAGAAATCCCGGATCTTTGATCCGACCGCTCTTGACTCAGTCCGCTAGGATTCTAAGGGGGAAGGGGGGGCCAGCTCGGCGCGGCCAGGGCAGTGGTCAGCCTCTGACCGCTTGCTCACGCGGAAGGAAGACACGAAACCCATGCCACCTTCAAGCTCTCATGAAACGTGACGAACTTTCGTAACGGCGTAGTATGAACCTAGATGATGTGTTTGTTTGGTCAGCATTGTAATCATCATAATACTGTTGCGCTCGACTGTTCAGACGGTTGAGGACACTTTCCAGTAGGGCAGGATGTGCTGCAGGGTCACCAGTCTGCCCCCGTCAGGTATGTCAGAAGCTTCGATCGTGAAGTCCTCGTGCCTTGGCTCGCCAAGCGCAGGCGCAGTGCCGGTGGCAGTGACCTCATGTGCTCCAGCCCTCTCAATCAGGTTGAGACTCTCGACGTCGATCTCTCCACCGCAGTATTCATGGATGCCACAGCACATAAGGTCACTGGTAGCAGTGCCGCACAGCTTGCACGCAATGTTGAGGAGGCTACTGCACGTATTTCAGGGCATCTTCAATCGGTCGGAGGAACTGTGAACATGAAGGAGCAAACTACCGTCCCACAATTTGTAGGTGGCAATGCTGTGCAACAGTCTCGGCACCTTGTGCATTCTGGGCCCCTTGCATCCGGCAAGGTGGCAGCTCATGTAACGTATCTTGGGGCTCAGTTCCATGGCAACGATACGTCGGCACAGCAACGCCAGTACATCCAGAAACACATGCGCAGGGCTTGGTATTCCATGGGTCGATTGTGGTCGGTCAACCAGGCCGCTCGGAGGATTCAGTTTTTGTTTTTCAGGCAGGTGTCCAGGCGGCGGGGCTGAGCGGCCTCGAGGCCTTCAGTCCCATCCACAATGATTTTAAGTTGATCGACGGACTGCTACTGCAGTGGGGAAGGGTAATACTGAAGGGAGATGCGGTGTTGAAGTTTACCAATCCTGACGGAAGTATTGAGCATGCCTCACGCCCGATGCAAGAAGTTTGGACACGTCTTGGTCTCATCCCGTCACAGCTCGAGCTGCGGGTGAGGCGCCCCAAATGGCTTCAACAACTTGCATGCCATCCTGAGGAAAAACTGTCAATTACTTGCCGCCCTTTTTGGCCGCATGACAGACCAAGATATTGGAAACTCGTTCGCAATGCCGATGGAGTCTATCAAGGCAACCCGTGGGCCCTACAAATGCTCAACGACCTGAACATGCTCTCCCTCGTGGACCCGGAGCTCCTGCAGGCCATGGTGGTAATCCACTTCAACGTCTTCAAAGCTGAGTTTGCCCCGAGGTTCATGAAGGTGAATTTCCAGAAACTTCGGAGTCTCTATTGGGACAACAGAATTGATGAGGCTGGGCGTCTTCGGGCTATGTAACGCTTCTGGTCCTCAACAACAAGTTCCTGAGCCTCCTGAGCCCCTGGATCTGGAAGCCCCACCCCCGCCTCAGTAAGTCTGGGTTTGTAAGGAACTCCTCAATGACAGGACTGTCTGCGGGATCGAGTTCAAAGATCAACACGGGTGGTCTGCTCATATGCGGTTTTGTCGTGAAGGTACACATGGTGAGAGAGCGCTATCACAACGATTAACTGTTACTAAAAATTGTCCGTGGTGTATGTCTACGCATCCTACTCATGCTATTTCGTGCCAACATTTTCGACGTCTATGTATCAATCAAGTGTGTCATTGTGATCGCAGTCCCATTAACCATGACGTTGTTGATAAGCATTCCTATGCTTTCCCAGCGTGCAGTAGAGACCATTCGACCCTCGCTGAGCTCCAAGTCCACATACGAACACACTTGGACCTATCCGACGGCGTACTATCCTTCGCAGAACATGGCCCAGTGGGCGATGGACGTCTCAGCGGCAGACGTGGAGGAAGCCAAGAAGAGACTAGCATCGACCTCACACACGCACATACTCTCCTGGACAGGTGGCAGACTCGGAGGGCCGCCAACGAAGCCGCGAAGCGAGCAGCAGCGAGGGCAGAGCTCAGGTGCAGCAGCAGCAGCAGCAGCAGCGGCGACGGCCGACGAGGAGGATTCGGAGAAGGAGACGGCTCAGGAGGTCATGAATGGATACCTGAACTGCAGCCAGCGAGTGATGGGGCTTGTCTGCAGTGGCATCGGCGCAGAAATATCTAGAGCTGGTGAAAGACGAGCCCGACCACGCGTACGCCCCCCCCCCCCCGAGTATGCACGTGGCCATGGCTGTATGCAGGGCGATGGTCACACACCCGATCGTGATTCAGAATGTGCAGCTGAAGGTGGAGGTAGGGCACCCGACTTCCCTCTCATATTGGTGTCAGAAGCAATTCTAGTAGTAGCAGCCGCATTTTTCAAGGTCTGGAGGGCCAAGGAGGCCTACACCAATGAAGGAGCCCCGCAAATGGTCCGTCACGCGTTCTTCGTGAATGCCTCGGTGAGCGGGTCCAATGGGCTCCTGCTCCCAATGAGTGCAGTGATCTCCTCTCTCCTCCTCACAAGACCGCTCCAGAGCGTCGGGTTCAAAAATCCCCCGAGAAAGTGCTCAAGGGAGCCCGCCACAAGAAGAAGTGACTGTCTATCGTGCTAACCCCTCTTCTGCTTCCCCTTCCGTCATCCCCCGCGGGTCTGTGCTCGAGATAGATAGGATCCAATTCAGGGGTGGATGGGACCCGAGTCGCAGCTCCGACACTAAAGGCCGTCGAGGGAAAGGAGCGGGTTGGGGTCGTGGGCGGAGCCGCGCTGCAAATGGCAGATGCATGCTCGCTCGACCTCTGACCTTTAATGGGTTGGTGCTTCTCGGTCTCTCCTCTTCCCCTCTGCTCCGCTGCTTCTTTTCTTCCGTCCCTCGTTCCCTTGGTTTTCACACCACACTTGCTCTCGATGTTTGTTCATCTACGCGTAGATGAGTGTTGTCTTGCGTTTGTGGCGCCCCCAATTCAAACAGGAAGGGGCCCCCTCGTTTGCAAGTTTGACATCGCTGCGAGCATAGTGCTTGTATGCGCAATGCGGCTTCCCACTCAGATGTGACAATCACGAGACCTGGCCAGATGCAGGGAGTCAGTCAGTCAGTCAGTCAGTCAGTCAGTCAGTCAGTCAGTCAGTCAGTCAGTCCTCCTCCTCCTCCTCGTGCTTCCTTCCCTCCCCCCTCGTCCCCCTCCTCCGCCTGCTGCAAACCGCGCTGGACGAGCAGCGGGAGAGCGGGGGCCGACGAGCGGATCGTGCCGGGGCGACGCCCGTCCTGCACCTCGCCGCGGAACTCGTCGCCGACCCAGGCTGCCGTCCCAGGGCTCTGCCCCTCTGGCTCCCGGAAGCCTTCGACGTTCATGTGCCACTCGACGCCTGCGCGGCGCTCCTCCCTCGGCCACGGGTTCGGCGCCGCCTGCCCGCTCTGGGCGAGCACGACCAGGTCGGCCTCCAGGCAGGGGAGCACCTTGAAGGGGCCCTGGGACACACAAATAAATACACACAAGTAAAATGGTTCCCCATATTTTCCGATATTTTCTGGGTTTTTGTCTTCCCGCCCAATTCCCATATTTTCCCATATTTTCTGTGGAATCGACGATTAATTGTGTCTGTGTTTTTTTTCCCTCCTGACACCTGCCTGTTCGCCGTCGCGACCCAGACGCTCTTCAAGCCTCGCTGCTTCACTAGCGAGGCGAGGGAGCGGGCCGTGCTCATGGCGGACGCGGCGTCCGTGTTGGAGGCGAAGTCATCGATGCTCAGGGCCGTGGACGCCGACGCGAGGGTCACTGCCAGCAGCGCACGGGATCGCTCTCCATTCGAGATGGAGTGCAGCGGCCTGACCCACGCAGGAATCTTGTTGAGCCCCGCCGCGCTGAGCAAACTAATGGCGTCACCGCCGTCGCCAAAAGCTGGGTGGCTACACACGGCCATGTTGGCCTTGAACTGCTTGGCGACGATGCTCTCCGAGACGGGCTTCTTCGCGCTCAGCGCCGCGAGCAGCCGGCTCTTGCCGCTGCCCGAGGGCCCGTAGATGACGCCGAGCCGGAAGCCCTGCGGCAGCCCCGCCGTCGCCGCCCGAACGCGGGCGACGACCTCGCGGATCCCGGCAGCCTCCGGTGGGGGACTGGCTCGCGGGGGAAACATCGACCTGGAATCGGCGATGCACCGTCGGTAGATCGGCGAGATGCCGCTGATAACACAATCGCACGGTCCCAAGCGGGGCGGGCTATCCGGCCCCTCAGCGATCCGCTACCGTGCCCCCTGGCACGTTGAGGCGTGGAAGAATGCCAAGGTCTGTCCGGCACGGTTTTTTTCCCGGAAAGGGCGCCGGCCCAGGGTTCTCTTTTACATGGTTTACCCCCGGTTTTGACTTGAAGGGGGCCAGCGGAATTCCGCTCGATAAAAAACGAGGTAAAGTCCAATTCGGCGTGAAACAGATGCGTTTCGCGCGTGTCCGCTCGAGGAAAGTCGACCCCCCATCTCGGATCCTCGATAAATGACAGGGTTCCGCGGACCACTGTTTTCCTTGGTATAAAAAATGCGGGGCACTTTTTACAGAATCCTCGAACAAAAACCGAGGTCTGGACCCCCGGCCGCGACGCGGAAAAGCGCCCCGCGCGCAGGAATTCCGAGGATGTCTCGCGCGTGCCGCGTCCCGCGCATATGAAATCCGAGGATGTCTTGACTAATTCATTTGTTTTTCCAAGATTTCCTTGGATTTTGACAGGATGTCTCGAGCGAAACGCTTGTTTTTCATAATTTGTTGAGGATGTCTCGAGCGAAACACTGGTTTTGCAAAATTGGGGGTTGTCTCGAGCGGGGGCCTCGTGGGGGGCCAGAGTTCAGAGGATGTCTCAAGCGAAATGGCTGTTTTCACGTCCCGCTCTCAGGAATTCCGAGGATGTCTCGCACGTGCCGCGTCCCGCGCGCAGGAATTTCAAGGATGTCTCGACTAATTCGTTTGCCGTTCCAGGAATTCCTTGGATTTCGCCAGGATGTCTCGAGCGAAACGCTTGTTTTTCATAATTTGTTGAGGATGTCTCGAGCGAAACACTGGTTTTGCAAAATTGGGGGCTGTCTCGAGCGGGGGCCTCGTGGGGGGCCAGAGTTCAGAGGATGTCTCACACGTGCCACGTCCCGCGCGCAGGAACTTCGAGGATGTCTCGACTAATTCGCCTGTTGTTCGAGGAATTCTTTGAATTTTGGCAGATGTCTCGAGCGAAACACTTGTCTCCAGCACGTTCCGTAGCGCGTCCCCTTGGCACGTCCCGCGGTGTGACCCCATGGCACGTCCCCTGGCACGTCGCTTGGCGAGTCCCTTGAGACGTTCCGCGGCGCGTCCTCCTGGCATGTTCCCCTGTCAATTTGCTCTGGGGCAGCTGCTATGTGTTCAGGCAGCTCGAGCTTAAGGTCCCGATCAGTTCGGTCAGGACTCGGATGCAAAGGAGGACTCGATCCACGACGCTATAGAGCACAATCGCGGCATGGCACATCGCAATCCAGCACGGCGCAGCACAGCACAGATTTCGGCACGGTACATCAAGATCGATACACTCAGCATTGCAACTTGGCACGTTCCTTGGCACGTTCCGTGGGTCGTCCCTTGGCGAGTTCCCCTGGCACGTCGCGTGGCGCGTCCCCTGCCACATCCCGTGGCACATCCATCGGCACGTTCCGTAGCGCGTTCCCTTGGCACGTCCCGCGGTGTGACCCCATGGCACGTCCCCTGGCACGTCGCCTGGCGCGCCCCTTGAGACGTTTCGCGGCGCGTCCTCCTGGCATGTTCCCCTGTCAATTTGCTCTGGGGCAGCTACTATGTGTTCAGGCAGCTCGAGCTTAAGATCCAGATCAGTTCGGTCAGGACTCGGATGCGAAGGAGGACTCGAACCACGACGCTATAGAGCACAATCGCGGCATGGCACATCGCAGTTCAGCACGGTGCAGCACAGCACAGCCCTCGGCAGGGTACATCAAGATCGATACACTCAGCGTTGCATGTGCCCGTCACCGAATCAAATGCCTTTGAAAACGTTGCCATGCGTTGCAGCTCTATATCCCTTTCCGGGCTCGTGGGCCGATCGTGCAAATTCTAGTAAGGGACCCCGCCCACCCTGTACCAGCAGACCCTTGCGTGAACCGCCCCTCCTCTTCGAGTACACTTCCAGCATGGCAGCGCGCGCTCGCTCGAGGATGGTGTACTCCCCGCGTGGCAACTTAGTGCCCGAGCCCTCATTCCGTGCGCGCCCTCTCGAGGATGGTGCACTACAGCAGCTACAGTCGGGGCGCTGACCCAAGGAACCCTAAATAAGGAACGAGGCCCCTTTTTACCATAAGTTAAACTTCGATTTCCTATCGGAAACATAAGGAAAACCTGAGGCAAGCTGTGAAACACTTAAGGAACGCGGAGCCCCTCCCCAACGAAAAGGGTTCCTTCTTCAGGGCCCCGACTGTATAGCAGCTAGTACCTGAAAACCCCTTCCACGCGTGCCCGCTCGAAGATGGTGCACTTTCCGTACGGCAGCTAGTGCCTGAACCCTCATTCCATGCGCGCCCGCTCGAGGATTGCGCGCTTCCCGTATTGCTACTTCCGAGACCCTTCATCCCACGCGCACCCGCTCGAGGATCGTGTGCGTCCCGCATTCCCAGGCGCTGCTCCCAAGCGTTTCAGGGCCTCCTAAGCCACGATCCCTCGAAACCAACGATGGATATGCATCCCGAGCTTCCAAGACTGGCCGTGCATGCAACTAAGGACACCAACATTATGCCCTCGACGACGGCCCAAGATGGCCTCAAGGCGGCCGCATATTGCTTCAAGACGACCCAAGGTGCCTCCAAGAGGGCCCAAACGAGCCACAAGCGGACCTCCAACAGGGCCCGAAGAAACTCATATCAGATTTTTTCCGGCAGTGCCGATTGATTTTCGCATTCGCGCTTTTCGGGCTGCCGCCAGCTCAAGACGACCCACGAGGACTCCACGAGAGCCCAAGAGGCATCCAATACGGCCCCAAGACGGCCCAGGAGGGCCTCCTGTGGGATCCAAGACTGCCTTAGAAGGCCGACGGCCCAAAACGGCACCAAGACGCCCCCGGGCACCCACCATACGGCCAAAATGACCCCTTGACGGCTCAATAGGGTCTAACGGACCCCCAAGGCTGCCTCACAAGAGGACAGGACAGCCCCAAGACTGCCCAAACACGTATCATGATCATGATCATGATCATGATCACCATCATCATCAACATCATCATCATCACCACCATCATCATCACAACCATCACCACCATCATCATCAGCATCACCATCAGCATCTTCACCATCATCATCATCGGCATCATCATCACACTTAACCAGCATCACCAACAACATCATCAGCATCACCACCATCGTCATTATAATCACAATCAGCATCGCCATCATCATCATCATCATCAGCATCGTCATCATCATGATGATCATAATCACCACCACCATCACCATCACCATCGTCGGTATCACCACCAGCATCATCGTCATCATCGTCATCAACATCACAATCGCCACCATAACCATGAACATCACTATCACCATCACCACCATCACTATCACCACCATCGACATACTCCTCATCCTCATTATCATCCTCATTACCATTATGAAAATGCTCATCGTCATCGTCATCATCAGCATCATCACCAACGGCATCATCATCACCAACAACATCATCATGATCATCATCACCATCTTCATCTTTCACAATCATCATCATTGCCACCATCGCCAGCACCACCACCATCATTATCACCACCACAACCACCACAACCACCACCACCATCACCATTACCACCATCATCATCATCATCATCATCATCATCATCATCATCATCATCATCATCAACATCAACATCAGCATCAACATCATCATCAACATCATCATCATCAACCACCGGTCATCCTCATTATCATCAGCATCGCCATCGACATCGCCGTTCTCATCACCGATCATCATCAGCATCGTCGTGGTCATTATCGGCAACAACATCTCAAACATCTCACTCATCCTCATAATCATCATCCTTATCACGTCTGCCCCAAGCCTGGAGACACGAAGCGTCGCACGTGACGGGCTCCCGTGCTCTTCGAACAGTCGCCACCCAGAATGCTGGGCTGGCATGCTGGCGGGACTTGCCGCAGGCAGCTGGATTAATGGGCGATTCTGGGGAAACCAAAAGGTACCAACACCGCTACTCCCCGGACCTCTCCCGGGGTGCGTTCTGACTAGAATTTCGAGGCGAATCCAGCGGTGGCGACGAGGGCCTCCCAGGAGGCCCAAAAAGGGGACGACGAGGGAAGGGTAGAGGCATGTCTGGGTACCTTGTCCTCCTCGGAGGTTGGGGGTCGATGCGTCCCCCTCTGAGCCGTTCCCCCCCCTGACGTTGCCCCTGAAGCCTCTGAGCACACCCGCGGAGCAGCGGCCTGCGCCGCGCGCGGGGGCAGCGGCGGCGCCGAGGCGGCCGTCGCACCAGCGGCGGCCACGGCTGGCGCTGCGGCGGCTGACCTCTCGGAGCCCTCCACGGGCAGGCCGTGGGCGAGCACGTCGGCCGGCACGCACCTGTGAAGGGGCCCTGGGACACACAAATAGATCCACGCCATCAAAACGAGTCCCCGAATTCTCCCGAATTTGCTGGGTTTTTGCCTTCCCGCCCAATTCCCATATTTTCCTATATTTCCCTGGGAGTCGACGATTACTTGTGTCTGTGTGTTTCTTTCCCTCCTGAACCTGGTGCACCCGTGTCTGCAGGGGCAGCTCCGAACCACCTTCGGGGACGCACTTGGCCCACGCCGGCGCAGAACCCGGGTCCGCAACGGGCCCTGTCGCGAAGCCAGGCCGGCCGCGCAGCAGCCCCCAACACACGGGTCAGCGGAGGGCAGGCAGCGCGAATCGCCCCCACGTGGCGCCTAGGCCCGGGTCAGCCGGAAGGGACTGGCTGGCCCTCGCTGGCGCTGACCGCCGTCACGTGAGCCCCGCCGGTACCTCGAGGTTGAGGTCCGCGGAGCCCCGCCTGCCGGGGATGAAGGGGCGCGTGAAACATTTGCCTGGTCGCCGCCCCTTTCCCCCTCCCCTGGGGTCCAGGTCGGGGGGAGTGGGGAGATGGGTGGGTCTACGACGGCGAGCTCCCCATCGGACCTCTAGGGCCCTCGAGGCCTCCAAATCCACCCTCCGTGGCCGCCCAAAATTCCCAAGATGTCTTCTAATGTGGCTCCAGGAGGGCCCCAACATGCTGGACAGGCTTCAATGAAGGGGCCCTGGGACACACAAATAAATACTCACAAATATCAGGATTCTCCGTATTTTCCCATATCTTCTGGGTTTTTGTCTTCCCCCCCACTTCCCATATTTTCCCGTATTTTCTGGGGGATCGACGATTAGTTGTGTCTGTGTGTTTTTTCCCCTCCTGATTCTTACATGGCTCCAGGAGGGCCCTTACATGCTGGACAGGCTTCAAACACTTCCAAAATGGACTCAAGACGGACGCCCCCAAGACACCGCAAGAGGGCCTGAAGAGGATTCTCAAGAGGGCCGCAAAAACGGTGAAGCCGATATCTGGTCGGTCACTTCCTGAACGATTTTCGCGTTCTAGCCGTTGTCGGGATTGTGGAACTCCAAGACGGCCCGAAAGCCCCCCATACTGGCCCGCGCTGCCCAAGAGGCCCAAAAACGGCCCAATAGGGCCCTACGACTGTCCAGCAGGCCCCAGAGGCGGCAAGCATGGCCCCCAAGAGTGGCCTATAAGAGGGGCCCGAGAGAGGCGCAAGGCCGACCCAGGAGAGGGCCCCGCGGACCTCCCAGAGGCTCCCGCAGAGTCTCCAGAGGGCCCCCGAAGGTCCCAGGAGCGTGGAAAAAGCTTCATGAGCACCAAGAGGCCCCCAAGTAGGGGAACAAAAAGTGGCATAAACATAAAAGCTCGGAGGTCCGCGCGGTTTTCTCGGGTCGGCGCTGGGGCCCCCCGGCGGCGCCTCCAGCGCCGCCCCTGGCGCGCTCCGCGCGCCACGGAGAGGGGTCCAGCGCCGATCCGAGAAATCCGCGCGGACCTCCGAGATTTTATGTTCATGCCACTTTTTGTTCCCCTACCCAAGGACGCCCGGCACCTCACGTGGAGGAAGAAGAGGACGCACCGGCAACAGCCACACGCAGGCAGCGCGACGGCACGTGGCAGACCCCACGACGTGCGACCTCGGAGAGGCCGCACAACTCCTCCGCGCGGGGCCGGCGGCATGGCGCAACACGGCCTCCTGAATAGTCCCTGTGCCTGTGCCGGATGTGGGAGCGGCGCCCAGCACTGCCGCAGGGCAGCTTGTCGTACTGGCAGACCGGGCAGGTCCACGTCGGCGGAGGGGGGGTCCCGTCCTCGCCGGAGGCCTCCGGCGCAGGCATGGCGCCGGAACCTGGGGCGCCCCTGCCGTAGCCTTCGCGGGATCGGGGGTCGGCCCCCGTCCCTGGGGCAACTGCCCCCCCTGAGCCAACACGGCCACAGAGAGCAGGAGCAGGAGGAGGAGGAGGAGGAGGAGGAGGAGGAGGAACAGGTGGGTGAGGAGGAGGAGGAGGAAAAGGAGGAGGACGATGATGATGATGCTGCTGCTGATGATGATGATGATGATGATGATGATGATGATGATGATGATGATGATGATGAGGAGCAAAAGGAGGAGCAGGAGCAGGAGCACGAGGGAGACACAATCCGTCGGCCAAGATGGCGAGCAAGATGAGCCGAGATCGGCGGCAACTTGACGGGCCAGCCAGGCCAGGATGCCAACCGTCTGTGGGTCGTCTTCCTTGTCGTCCCGGCCTTCCAAGGTGTATGTAGCTCGTCCCCATAAGCCACGCTCACCAGTGGGTAGCAAAACATCTGGGCTTTGTTGGTGGGCTCGAATCGAAGCATGTCCTGCGGAAAACCTCAATGGATCCCAACACGGGCCGAGAGCCCACTGGGACGCTCGAAGAGGACCCAGGCTATCTCCAGATGGCCCCCAAAATAGCAGCACATAGTGGATTATCCAGAGAAGCCACAACGATGCCATCGCGTGGGAGCCGAGCAAGCACATGTTTTCGCAGAAGCAATGCAGCACAAAGGCAAGCCACGAATGTGTGAGAACGATTTGAAAAATCAACCTGGGGGGACAATTTAAACAATCACTATTCCCAACGCTGTAATGCGCATTTACAAAAGAAGAAGACTGGGCAAACCGGACCGCCGGGGACGTCCCGGCGACCGCCCTGGCGCTCCGTGTCCAACAGCAATCCATTCAATGATACCGGAGAAACCCCCCAAGCAGATTTTTGTTTGGGGCTATGAGGCTAATTATGGGGCTATAGGGCTATAGACGTATGGGGCTATACGGCCATAGGGCTATAGGGCTATAGGACTATAGGACTACATGGCTATAGGGCAATAGGGCAAAAAGGCTATAGGGCTATTAGGGCTATAGGGCTATTGGGCTACAGGGCTATTAGGGCTTTTAGGGTTCTAGGGCGATAGGGCTATAGGGTCATGAGGCTCTAATGCTCTAGGGCTATAGAGCTATAAGGCTACAGGGCTATAAAGCCATAGGGCTGTAAAACTACCGGGTACCCGGGCACCCGGGCACCTGGGCACCCAGGAACCCGGGCAACTGGGCACCCGGGCACCAGGGCACCCGGGCCCGGTCACCGAAATCGGCGACGTAGGTCACCTACACATATGAATCCGCTAGTTATGAAAGGCAATGCCTGCTACAGCCACAGGTCCCCCAGAAAGGCCAAAGTACCTCCCAAAGTAGGTTTCGGAATAGGAATAGAAGTACCCACCGAGCCCAACAAGTACCTCCCAAAGTAGCCCCCAAAGTACCTTCAAAAAAACAAAAAGTAGCTCCCGACAGGTTGTTGGCATGCTACAAGTAGTCGAATGATTTTTCGGTCGTTCGTGCATCGGTCTTCATATTGTTCGCACATCATTTCTTATTGTTCGTTACACATGCCTTTACTTATTTCATGTTTCCAGCGACCCTTGAGGTTGCGTACTTCCCCCTCCAGGTTCCTAGGGCGCCAGAGAATATTGGGAACCGAATTTAGTTCTCAAGCCTGACAGGCCCCGCTGGGGCGGCGGATCGCACCGCATATGTGTCACGATGTATATTGCAGTTCGTAGTTCATGCCCCGCGTGTTGGCCACGTAGTTTACCCCACTTAGCTTGGGCACCGTCGGTTGCACCACATAGTTGCCTTTTGGATGATGTTCTCATCGTGCGATGCGCTATGGTTGCGCCTCAGAGCTACCGCCACGTAGACCCCGCTTGCTCCACCACATAGCTTGCACCACATAGCTTGCACCACATAGCTTGCACCCCCCTCCCCCGCCCGTGCTCTCCAGCCATTTTGGCTTCCAGCCCCACCCCTTCGCCATGAGCGGGGGTGGGGTAGGGTGGGCCTCCGTGGCGGAGGCCGCGGCCGAGGCCGCCGATGGCGGCGCCTCGGGCTGGGCTGCCGCCGCCGCAGCCGCCGAGGCGGCCGCCGCCAGCCCGCCCGACGGCTGGGGCGCGCTGGCGGCCAGCGCCGCGGCGTCGGCGGAGAGCGCCGAGGGCGCCGAGGCGTTCTCCCACCACCTTCCCCCCTCCACTTCCCACCCTCCCCTCATCCTACTCCTTCAGGCGGAGGTTGCCGTGGCGGCTGCCGCCGACGGCGCTGGGTCCGCGGACGCGTTCGGCCACGCGCTGACGCCCGCGGACCTGGCGCCCGCTGGCAGCGTGGCTGCGCGGCGCAAGGCCCCTGGGGATGAATGAGAGGATGGATTGAGAGGAGGGGGAGGAGGAGAATGGGGATGCCGCCTTCACGGCTAGGGTGAGGAGGAGGATGGGGATGCAAGGTAGGATGAGGCGAGGAGGGATAGGAGGAGGAGGAGGAGGCGAGGGGAGGATAAGGTGAAGGGGGGAGAGGGAGGGGAGGGAAGGAGGAGGAGTGGAAGAGGCTGTAGCGGGGTTGCGGCGTCCGAGGCGGCGTGGCACCCGCTCGAGCATCTTCGGAAGCGGCTCCGAGATGCGTGGGGTCACCGCGTCGCTGCTGGTGGGCGTGAGCAGCCGCTGCCAGCCGCGGAGGCGGCGCTGGCTGCCGCCCGCGACGCGGTCGTCGACGAGGACGACTGGGCGCTCTTCGGGCCCAGCGACGCGGAGGAGCTGCTCGACGGGGACGCCGACGCCATCGCAGGCCCAGTCCCGCATGCCGACGCGGAGGTGGCCTTGGCAGCTGTGGCCCGCGCGCCAGTGCTGGCGCCGGCGCGGGCCCAGGCTCGAGTGGAGGAGCTCGCGCAGCTCGTGGAGCAGACGTGCGCGATCGCGGAGGCGAACTCGCGCACGGAGCGGGACTTCGTCGCAGCGGCGCAGCGTGGTGTGGTGCAGTACTTCCTGGATGAGAAGCGCACGACGCTGCCATTCCACCAGGAATGCAGCAACCTCGGCGTTGGCCGCCGCCGCGCTGATGGCATCCTGCGCGCTGTTGCCGCCGCGTGCGTGTCGGTGCAGAATCGGGACGTGTGCAGGATGATTCGCCAGTTGACGCGGTCCATCTTGGAGCGAGGTGGCCGAGCACTGACATGGTCAGAGAGCGTCAGGTATGATGAGACGCCGATGCACATGAGGCTCACGGACACCGAGAAGGCGGCGGCAGCAGCAGCGGACTCGGCCATGCCAGCGGCCATCGTGCCCGCCGACGGGCAGCCCAGGCTGGTGCCGATCAGCGCCAGCTGCTCGAGCTCGCACGTCGCCAAGATCTTGAACACTGAGCGGGTC